CAAGAGGGCCCCAGGACAGCCCAAGAGGGCCCCAAGACGGCCCAAGAGGCGCCCAAGATGGCCCAAGAGGGCCCCAAGACGGGCCCAAGAGGGGGCCCAGAGGGGGACCACGAACCGCAAGCTCGAGCCTTCCGCCCCAAGAGGCCGCCAGGAGGCCCCAAGGAGGCCCCTCAAGAGGCCCCAGGAGACCCCCAAGAGGCCCAAAGGAGGCCCCGAGAAGCCCCAAATCGGCCCCAAAAATGCTTCGAACTTGCTTCCAGGAGGCCCCCGACAGGTTCAGAGGCTCCCGAGAAGCTACGTCAAACTCCCAGCGAGCGGCCGGACGAGGCCCCCCACAAAATCACAAGAGGGTTCCAGTATTTGTATCCTTCAGCGCTCTCTGGCCTTCTTCCCCCTGCCCCCTTCCCTGCGACTTTCGTTGACTCAAGCTCGCCTCCTAGCTAGAACCTAAGCGCGCGCGAAGCGCGCGCGTGGTTCTAGTATATTGGGCGCCTCAAGCACCGTCTTGGGGCCCTCGCGGGCCGTCTTGGGGCCCTCTTGGAGGCCTCTTCCTGTATATTGAAGCGGCATTGGAAGCCTCTTGGGCCGTCTTGGAGCATCGGGATGCCAAAAGGGCGAAAACATTTAAACCCGTCAAAGCCCAATCGTAAAACAATGAGTTGTGCCTCTTGGGGCCACCTTGGGGGATCTCTTGGAACCTCGTCGGCCCTCTTGGGAGCTTCTTGGGGGCCTCTTGGATCCGATTGGGGGCGTCTTGGGACTTCCCGAGAACCTCTCGGGGTAGAAAGCTCGGATTCTCGGTTCGTGTTTCCCTTCTTGGGCCTCTCTTGGGGCCGTCTTGGGGCCCTCTCGGGCGTCTTGGGCGCCTCAGGCACCGCCTTGGGGCCCTCGTGGGCCGCCCAGGGCCCTCTTGGAAGCCTCTTCGGCTATCTTGGAGCTGTCTTGGAGGCCTCTTCCTCCTCCTCGTCCTCCCTCCTCCTCCTCCCACTCCAGCTCTCTCTCCTCCTGATCTTCCTCCTCCTCCTGCAGCGTGTTCCGGAAGGCTCCCGCCGGAACATGCTGTGCACAAGTGCTGTCACTGCTCCCGCCACAGTGCCCTGGGTGTGGGTCAGAGGCCTCATGGGTGTTGGTTTGGATCTCGTGGTTGGCCTGTCGGGGACGTCGTGAAGGCAGTTTCGCAGCTTCTCGGTAGCCGTTTTGGGACCGTTGTGGGGCCTCCTCGGGGCTGTTTTGTGGCCTCTTGGGGGCCTCCTGGGGCCTCTTGGGGGCTCCTTGGGGCCTTCCTGGGGCACTCTTCAAGCGGGAGGGTCGAATTTTGGAGTCGTGGTCCCCCTCTTGGGCGCAACTTGGGGGGCTCTGTTGTGCTGTCTTGGGCGACTCTGGGACCGTCTTGGGGCCCTCTTGGGCCGTCTTGGGGCGCTCTTGGGGGCCTATTGAGCCGTCTTGGAACGTCGGACAGCCGAAAAGGCTGGAAGGCCAAAATCGTTCGAAAACCTTTGTAAAATTGACGATTTCGGCCTCTTGAAGCGCTGTGGAGAGGCGTCTTGAAGCGTCGTGGAGTGCCTTGGGGGGCCTCTCGGGCCGTCTTGGGCCTACCTTGGGCGTCCTGGAGCGGTCTTTCGGCGACTCGGGGCCCGCTTGGGCCGTCTTGGGAGCCTCTGGAGGCCCTCCTGGACTATTTTGGACCTCCCGGCCGCCCCGTCCTCCCACGGGGGGTCGGAGGCGGCGGCCTCCGAGGCCCAGGACGCGGAAACCTTGTAAAAACTGCCAAAGAGAGTTCCAAGAGGGCCCCAAGACGGCTCAAGTGGGGTTCAGGAGTGACCTAGAGGCCCCAAAGACAGCCCAAGAAGGCTCCAGGACCGCTCCCAGAAAGAGCTCACAGGGGTACCCGACCTGACATTTCCAGCCTTCCTCCCCAAAGAGAGCCCTAGGAGACCCAAAAAAGGCCACCCATTCAGAATGCTCCAAGAGGCCCCCCCACAGGCTCCCAAGAGGCCTCCAAGAGGCCCCCAGGAAGCCGAAGATGGTCCGCAGACAGTCCCCCAAACCGCCCAAGACGGCCCAAGAGGCATCCAAGAGCACCCCCAAGAGGGCCCGCAAAAGCAAAAATAGCCCCCCTCCCTTCGGAAAGCGTACATTTTATAATATTCGCCCAGAGGCCTCCAAGCTCGCGCCAAGACGGCCAAAGAGGGTCCCAGAGGGCCCCAAGATCGCACCAGACGGCCAAAGAGAGTTCCAAGAGGGCCCCAAGACGGCTCAAGTGGGGTTCAGGAGTGACCTAGAGGCCCCGAAGACAGCCCAAGAAAGCCCCAGGACCGCTCCCAGAAAGAGCTCACAGGGGTACCCGACCTGACATTTCCAGCCTTCCTCCCCAAAGAGAGCCCTAGGAGACCCAAAAAAGGCCACCCATTCAGAATGCTCCAAGAGGCCCCCCCACAGGCTCCCAAGAGGCCTCCAAGAGGCCCCCAGGAAGCCGAAGATGGTCCGCAGACAGTCCCCCAAACCGCCCAAGACGGCCCAAGAGGCATCCAAGAGCACCCCCAAGAGGGCCCGCAAAAGCAAAAATAGCCCCCCTCCCTTCGGAAAGCGTACATTTTATAATATTCGCCCAGAGGCCTCCAAGCTCGCGCCAAGATGGCCAAAGAGGGTCCCAGAGGGCCCCAAGATCGCACCAGACGGCCAAAGAGAGTCCCAAGAGGGCCCCAAGACGGCTCAAGTGGGGTTCAGGAGTGACCTAGAGGCCCCGAAGACAGCCCAAGAAAGCCCCAGGACCGCTCCCAGAAAGAGCTCACAGGGGTACCCGACCTGACATTTCCAGCCTTCCTCCCCAAAGAGAGCCCTAGGAGACCCAAAAAAGGCCCCCCAAAGCATCCAGAATGCTCCAAGGGCCCCCCCACAGGCCCCCAAGAGGCCTCCAAGAGGCCCCCAGGCAGCCAAATATTGTCCGCAGACAGCCCCCCAAACCGCCCAAGACGGCCCAAGACCCGAGGGGCGACCAGGGCGGGGACGGCGTCGACGACGACGACGCCGACGACGGCGACACCGCCGACGACGGAGAATTCTCTCTGGGATCCGAGGGCCTCTGCGCTGGCCCGGGGAGGGAGGTGCCACAGCAGGAGGGCCACGGCGCGCATGGCGTCGAGAAGGCCGTTTTCTTGGACCGGCGGCGGCGGCGGTCCGAAGTGCGGCTCGTCCGCACCGTCCGTTGTAAGGTTCCTCGGGGCTGTTTGGGAGCCTCCTGAAGCCTCGTTCGGGCCTCCTGGGTGCCTCTGGGGGGTCTCCTGGCCTCTTGGGGCCCCTTTGGGGCCTCCCGGGGCCCTGTGGAGGCGGGAGGCTCGAATTTCCGGTTCGCGGTTCCCCTCTTGGAGGCCTCTTGGGGCCGTCTTGGGCCTCTCTTCGCCTGTCTTGGGCGCGTCTTGGGCCGTCTTGGGGCCCTCCAGAGCCGTCTTGAGCCCCTCTTGGAGGCCTCTTGGGCTGTCTTGGGGCGTCCGCGGGGGGCCTGTGAGCCGTCGTGGAGCGTCGGAAAGCTGAAACGGCGGGAAGGCAAAATGTGTCCACTCTAATAAAATGAACGATTTTGGCCTCTTGGGGCCCTCTGGGGGGGCCTCTTGGAGGCCCCTTGGAGCGTCTGGGGGCCTCTTTGGCCGTCTTGGGCATATCTTGGGCATCTTGGGGCCCTCTTGGCGCTCTCTTGGGCCTCTTGGAGCCTACTGGGCCTGTCCTGGAGCGCTCTTGGGGCACTCTTGGGCCGCCTGGGCTGCTCCAGGGAGGCTCCAGGCCCCCCCCGTCCCCCCATGGGGGGTCGGGGCACCTGTCCTGGGGCCCCCGGCCTCGCCCCCAGGGATATATATATATATATATATAATATATATATATATATATATATATATATATATATATATAATGTGTATAGATGTACATAGATTCGCCGCGCTGCGTGAACGCATCTGGGAAACAACCGGCGTTGGTGGCATTGCGGAATGCTGTACATCTCGAAGGCTGGCAGTATGTGCCTAACAGGCACCACGCAGGGCGACTCAAAGCCCCACGCTGCCATGCTGCCGTGAGCATCAGTCCTCCCTCTCTTACCTCCCCCCCCATCCCCCCCCTATTCTTTCACCTAATCAAAATAGGGCAGCAAGAGAAACTCAACAACCGCAAGCAAAGCACGGCAATTTCAACCGTGCGCGCGCTGAGACCAATCGCAGCGATGCAACCGCGCCGCCCAGTGGCCAGCCAGACACACAAGTCGGTCGGCGTGGGTGCGGCTGCGCCGAGCCAGCTGACAAGACATCATCGAGGTGCGCGCAGCTGCGTCGGGCCCAGATGGAACCTATTTTGTGCCACAGCAAAGAGGTAGATACTGAACTCCTCCTCCTCCTCCTCTTCTTACGATTATTGTTAGTAGTGCTCGGTTTTCTTAGTGTTATTATTAGTAGTATTACTCGTCTTAATATTCGTCGCAGTGGTCATGTTATTACTATTATAACTCGTTGTATTATACTCCTCCTCCTCCTCCTTCTCCTCCCCCCCTCCTCCTCCTCCTCCTCCTTCTCCTCCCCCCCTCCTCCTCCTCCTCCCCCCCCTCCTCCTCCCTTCCTCCTCCCTCCCTCCGATTCGTGGGGCCGTGGTGGATCCCGGCCGGCTGCTCGCCATCCGTGGCCTGACGATCCCCGCGGTGGATCCCATCCAAGCGCGTGCCACTGCTCTCGCAAATGGCCGGCCACGGGGGATTTGCGATACATTACGTCGAGGCCGGCATGTCTTGTTCGGACGGTTGCGAGTGAGTAGGCATCCTGCGAGTAGCAGAACGCGCTCGGTGAAATGCAGAGGCACCACCCGCACCCTTCCCTGCTGGTGCCCTCGGCGCACGGCTGTCCCAGCCCGCGCTGCCGCTGGCGCGGGGTGGGTCGGCGAGGTGCACCAGGGCTCGAGAGCCAAACGGAGCTGTTTCTGTGTTCGTTCTGTTTGTGCTTTCCTCCGCTCTATCTTCGTACTGCCTTGGCCGCGAAACGAGCTCAAACCGAAAACGGTTCACGAGATCGCCCAAACACCGTGTGGCTCGAGCCTTGCTTGTGCTGCTGGTCATCAGCGGACGAGCCCACGCCGCGCCGCTCGGCTCCACCGTCACAGGAACATCTGACAAGAGGCCGATGCCGGCTGGACGAAGACTCCGGGAGGCCCGCCCAGAGGCCGCGTGCCGTGCGAGCCTTCGTCGGACACCATCTGCCTCGAGGGGGGTCGACAGGGGGGGGGGGGCTGGGGGGGGAGACGGTGACCTGGGATCGGCGACACATCGCCAAAACTATCAGCGGGACAGGCCACCCATCGCGATAGCCCGCACGCTCCTTTGGCAGGCGGGGGCGCCCAGGCTCCGATGGGGCGAGGAATGGGCTCGGGGGAGTCGATGCTTCCCCCCCTGGGCCAGCGGGCCAGCCAGCCCCCCCCCCCCCCCCCGCCGCTGCCCCTGATGCTACGTCGGGCATGTCCCTCTACAGGAGGAAGAATCAAAAGATAATCCAAACATTACCTGGGGACGATGCTTCTACTGTCGTTTGGACTATTGCTGAGTTCTGTTGGACCCGTTTGCAACTATTCGCCCACAATCCGCCTGGAGGAGGACATACCCGACCTAACCCTGATAGGCCTCTCTGCGATCTTCTTGATCCGGCGCTGCATCCGGCGCCGCTGCGTCCAGTTCGGCGCTGGGCCCTCCGGGCCGCCGCCGCTGCTCGTGTCCTCCGCCGGGAGGGCGGGCCACGGGCTCCCCGCCCCGCGCCAAGCGCCGAGCGGGGTCTGCTCCTCTCGGTGGTTCAAAGATGGGATCCTGGAGGATTCGGCTACACGCAAGAATGTCCCTGGGTGGGGACCAAGCACAAGCGCGCAAGACGCTGCTACTGCATCGCGTTCGGCGATCTGGGGACCCACTTATGCCTGCACCAAAGGTCACTCCGGCGAAAGGTCACTCCGACGTCTAGTCGAGGGATGGGGTCCTAAGACGAGGTGCCCCGAGCCACATGTATCCACCCTCAGATCCCTCCCTATCCTTGGGACCCCATCCCTCAGGACCCCACCTTTGAGCCACCGGTCCTCGAACGGGGCACTGGTCCGTACCAGGCCCGCGGGCCACGGGACCTCCTCCTCGCGGGGCAAGACGGGCGCCCAGACCTCGGGCGACGAGAGATCTCTGCACACGGCCGTGGCCCCAAGGCCTGGCCAACCCCTGGCCCCAGAGCGGTGCACAGGCATACAGCCGGCAGAGCAACACCCTCCAAGAACATGCGACCCTCCGCCCGTCCAAACTGAAGAACACTCGGGGGCACCCTCCCCGAGTCGCTCTCGACCTTATATGGCAGGCTCGTGCCGTGTCGACCCCGGCATTGGTTCCTGACACCGCGGGGATCGCTCCAACCTGAACGGTCGGACGCTCCGCGAACGCCCGATCGTTCAGCGACGGGCCCCGACTCTGGGCCACGGGCGGCGCTCAACCTTACAGGGCAGTTCTTTAATACATAGGATTTGTTTTTTTATATAAAAAGCATAGGATTGTTCATACATGGTTGATGCATGAATAAGTTTATGCATCAACTCCTGGTTGTTTTTAGTAGTGAAACCCTGCATTTCTTGTACATGATCCGCACGCGGAGCATGTATTGAAAACGGCACTGTACACGCACGCGCTGGGGTCGCCGCTGGTCGGCACGACGCGAGCCTGCCGTACCTCGCTCCGACGGCGCCCCGCCGTGCCAGGAGGAGGTCGTGTGCGCCGCTCCCGGGCCCAGGAGGGGCCGCTGGCCCGGGGGGCCGCGGCCGCGTGCCACAGATCTCGCCGCCCCACGACCTGGGAGCAGGCAGGCAACAAGAACGGAGGAGGAGGAGGAGGAGGGGGAGGAGGAGGGGGAGGAGGAGGAGGAGGAGGAGGAGGAGGAGGAGGGGGAGGGGAGAGATTCGGAGCGCGTATTGATGTCTCCAGGCCTCCTTGATGGGGTCCGAACAAATGGGGTCGAAGGATCGCGCCGCATCGCCGATGCATCGGCGACCTATCGGCGATGCATCGGCGGCGTCGGCGATGCATCGGCGCCATGAGCGTGGAGGAACTCTGGCTCAGCATCGAGCCGCGTCGTCGATGCATCGGCGATGCGGCCCGATCCTCCGACCCCATCTAAGAAACCGAACTCTATACACCGCCGCTTTTTCCAGCCCTGCATTGAAATTTGCACAGCAGAGCGGATCCTGGTGTATACGTGATCCTGGTGTATACTGTGATCGTTGTTTCCCTGGGGGAAAAAAGGGGAAACTAATATCACCACACCACCCCGACGTCGCTTCCGACCCTCGGAAAAGACAGGGGATTGGAAAACATCCCGCCACTGATAATGTATATATGCTCCAGTTCCGACCATCTGCTCCAACCCCATCTGGGATCGCCGAGCGCGTTCCACTACTCGCAGAGTGCCTACTCGCAAACGCCCGAAAAACACCTGTCTGCTTTCGTGTAATTTGTCGTAGATCCCCCGCGGGGGGATCCAGACCATTTGCGAGTAGTTACTTCGCGAGTAGTGGAACGCGCTCGTCGATGGGAGGCCTAGAGACCAAGAGACGCGAGCGTAGAACTTCGGAGATCCAGGCGGAACCTGCGGGTCGGCGCCGGACCCCCCCTTGCTGCGGGGCCGGCGCCCTGGATGGGGGGGCGTCCAGTGCCGACCCGAGACATCCGCACGACCCTGGCGTTCGACTCTGGCCCCGCGTGGATGGCTCAGCCTTGAACGACCCGGGGAGAGGAACATTGTGGATGCCACGACAATGGACACCCTGGCAGTCCTAGCATCTAATTAAACATGTGTTTAAGCTGTCGGAAAAGGTCCTGGAACTATTTGAAACATGTGTTTACATGTTTAAAACAGTTTTAACACATGTTCTAGACATCTGGCAATTATTTGGCAACACGCTTCCTCTCCATTGATCGTCCTCCACAAGGGGAACATATACTTCAACTCCCTCTGGCCTGCGAGCCGCAGCCCCTGACCCAGACCGAGGGGAAAACAAACCTGCGATGGTCGCTCCCTGCCGCCTTCGCGTTGCCAGGGCGGCGGGCGCGTGTCAGGCCCGGAAGCTGGAAGACGGCCTCCAGAGTAGAACGCCGACGAAGGTAGCATCAGATCGGAAATCCCACAGAACGATCGGCGGCTTTTCGATCGCCAAGTGTCTCACGTGAGATGACACGGCGACGCTACGCGGTGGCTTACGCGGGCCGCCAGCGCGGAACGCTCGCTACTTTGGAGACGAGGGCGCTTACGCGCGACCTTACTCGGGCAGCTTACGCGCCAATGTCGGCGAAGGCGACCCCGTTTTTTGCGTCGCTCATGTCGTTCCATGTTGGCCGCTCTGGGGCTTCTGGCGGCACTCGACCTTGGGCATACGCGGCGGGGTCGCTGCCGCGTCCGCACGACACCAACCTACCTTGTCCCGTTCTTCGCACTCCGATGACCGGGCTCCACTGCCGCCCGCCCTCGATGCCCCTCGTGGCCACGGCGCAGGTGTCGAAGCCCTTCCGCGTCACGACAGCGGAGGCACGCGCCTGCCCGGAAGGCATGGCGTCTGCACAGGGCGGACCGCCTCGGCGCTCGCGGAACGCGGCCGGGGGTGTAGATGCAGGGGGGAACGCAGCACCGGGAATCGAGCGCTGGAGCAGCGTGGCTGCGGAAGCGCCAGGCGCTGCCGACGAGGAGCCCGCGAGAGGCCACGAGGTCGCAAGAGGCGCAAAAACATCCGACGTGGGCGGACGGCGTCCCCGCCAGCGCCACGCACCCTCCCCGCGTCTGGGAAGGGGCCTGGTGCTGGAGGAGGAGGAGGAGGAGGAGGAGGAGGAGGAGGAGGAGGAGAAGAGGGAGGGGAGGAGGAGGAGGAGGAGGAGGAGGAGGAGGAGGAGGAGGAGGAGGAGGAGGAGGAGGAGGAGGAGGGGAGGAGGAGGAGGAGGAGGAGGAGGAAGGACGCCCCAGCTTCCCATCCTATGGGATGCTGAAGCGTCTACACGCCAGACTCCTTCGCCGAGTTCCTTGGCTCCAACCTGGCCGACCAAACGACGTGGTGTATGCAGTGGGGGCCCGACCACAAGAAGCCTTCCACGGCAAGCAGGATGTTTTTGGTACGGGCCTCCACTGTACACGCCCGACTCCTTCGCCGAGCTCGTGGGCTCCAACCTGGCCGACCCAACGACGTGGTGTATACATCAAGGCCCCGTCCGACCACCCCTCCCGCTGGCGCGCGCGAGGCGAACCAGCGGGCGGCACCGAAGGCGAGGCCCAGGGATGTCGAGACACTGCGGGCAAGATGTATGTCCGTGCGACAGGCTCCCGTCGTGTCGACCCCGGCGGTGGTTCCTGACACCGCGGAGATCGTTCAAACCTGAACGATCGGCCGTTCCTTTGACGCCGGATCGTTCCACGACGGGCCGATTCTGGGCCACGGGCGTCGTTCAACCTCAAACGCACGCGCAGGGGTCGCCGCTGGTCGACACGACGCGAAACTGCCGTATCCACTCCATCTTGGAGTTTCGGGTTCCCTTCCCCGAGAAACCGAACCGCAGTGGACATGGACACAAATCCGCCGACCTTTGGGGTTCATCGGCGTGTGGGATGTTTGGTTCCCGGGAAATGGGGTATTTGGAAATGGGGCCGCAAACCGCAGCTGCATGAGTTCGCTGCGTGGAACTACTGCGCGCAACTATTGCGAACTATTGCGCCCTCGTGCTCAACTATTGCGTTATACAACTCTTGCATCGTGGCGGGCCAACTATTGCAAACTACTGCTCGCAAAAAAAAAAAAGCGAAAGCGCAAACTATTGCATCGCAGAGATAAACGATTGCGCTCGCGCGAGCAAGCTGCTGCACCCCGACTATTGCACAAGGCGCGGTTCGATGTATGCGATCGCTTCCAACTATTGCATGAAATATTGCGCGCACGCTTCGCGGCCCCATTTCCAAAAGACCCCATTAGCCCGATTCTGCGGCTTCCCCCTCCCGAAACACTTCCCCTGGGAGCCTGGTCCGGTCAATTTGGAGGGGGGGGTCCCACGGGGGGAATCCTGTTGCCCCCTCCCGTCGCTTAACATTGCACAGACCCCCACTCCATTCGCACGATCGGATGTCGAGAGTGCAGGGTGGGCGAGGCAGGGACTCCAGGGATACTCGGGGAGCTCTGAGGCCTGGCGGCCGCGGGGTGCGGGGGGGGAGGGGAGAGAGGGAGGGCAAGCTACGCGCGCTCGCGCCATATCTGACGTACTATCCCTCCCTCAAATCCCTTCCCACTGCGCGAATTGTTGCTCTATCCGCGGACGCGTGTCATAGCCGATTTGGAGCGGAAGGAATGGGAAGAGCAGGAAAGCCAGTGGAAGGCGGAGGAGAGGAAATACGGGAGAGCACAACGATGAGGAAGGACTCGGATCAAGAGGAATGGCCTGGCACGCGCTGAGGGGGAGAGCGCCACTTTGGACGACGGGAGCACTGCGCGCACACACACACACAGAGCCGCGCCTGAACGGCGCATCGGCAGGACAATTGGCTACGTGAAACACATGTGCATTATAACGGGGTTCGCGCAGACGCCCCTCTGCAGTGCCTCGGAAGCGTACGCTGGAATTCTTTGCCCCAGCGAAGAGCGAAGGTATGCTACAGTGCGCCGGAGGAGGAGGAGGAAGAGGAGGAGGAGGAGGAGGGGGAGGAGGAGGAGGAGGAAGAGGAGGAGGAGGAGGAGGAGGGGGGGCTGAGTGATACAAACATGCCTTAGAATCGTATCATCTGGGCCCCCGATTCGCATGGCTATGAAAAGCAACAGTCTACAACAGCTGCGTTCCATTGCCCCGGCGCTCCACGCAGTAGAGCTTGCAATCTGTCGGGGTCGTTTCCTGCCACACCCAGGGCTTGAGCGTGCATGTGCATGTAGGCGTTCCACTGTAAACGAAGGCGCCCTCTGAGGCGCGGCGTGCCCCAGTCCCTAGGCAGAATACGGTGGTCTTGCCCAGCTTGAAACACCATTGCTCTGGGCAGGCTGCCGGGCGGTCCCCCTGCCAGCTTACCATAAAAATTCAATTGGCGCTGACATAAAAAAACTGATAACGGGCATGCTTCCGCTGCCGCCCGCACATCAGCGTTGCTGCCGCGAGGCAGGAAAGCCGGCGTTATTTTGAAAATCTGTCGCAAGCATTTTGCTCGGAAGCTGTCAAGTCGATCCCGGTCCGCCTTCAGTAACATGCAAGATTCTAGCCCATATAACAATTTAGTATACACGCAAGCTTTTAGCACCCGCAATTTGCGCCGTCGGCTCATATTCGCATGGCTCCACACTGCGCATAGTTTGTGGAATGCTCCACTCGCTTCCCCCAGGCGCCGCGCGAGCTCAGTTCCACCTCTCCCATCTGCACTTAATAATCCGCCCAGGTAAACTGCACGCTTCGCATTTGATTGCCTCGCCGTTTGGCCCAAGCACAGCGTCGTTGGATCGTACGCTCAGTAAAATTGTTTTCCCGGCATTCAGATCAAGACCAAACGTTTTGCCAATCTGCGCAACTGTCGCGAAATGTTTCTGGAGGGCGGGTTGGTCTTCAGCCACGAGCATCGCGTCGTCGGCGCGCAAGATGTCGTTTGTGATGATGCACGGCTTGCCTGCGAAGTTGTCGCAGTCGGTTGCCCGTTTGTCGCCCACGGCCTCCAGGAGCACGGGCATAACAATGATGAAAAGGTACGGAGACAACGGGCATCCCTGTGCCATTCCAGTTTCTTGAACTCGTCGCGAAGATACAAGATGGCCCTCTTCGACAGCGAACCGCCGCACCCTGTAGATCGCCGCAATCATGTCGAGCATCGCCGAAGGCACGCCGAAGTGTCGGAGTGCGAACAATAGGCCGTCTGTCTTGATACGATCGCAGGCTCTACTCCAATCCAAAAGTAAAATAGGCAGCTTCCCACATTTATCGCCAAGAGCAGCATCCACCAGCCTGCGTGCCAAGAACAATGCTTCACGAGTTCCTCTGCCTGGTCTGAAACCATACTGGGTTTCCCGTAACCTTTCTTCTGTCCCGCCCTCCTTGAAACGATGCAAGATAATGCTGGCGAGGATCTTGTCGCCGACTGCCAATAATGATACGGGTCTGTAGTTGCCCGGCTGCGACGCGCCCCCCTTCTCGAAGATAGATGCCACCGACGCTTGCCGCCGCTGCGCTGGTATATCTTTGCTCTGCCCGCATGCGTCGCAGAGGCCCCGTAGAATTTCCAAGGCATCGTTGTTCGACCATAGCGCGTGCCAAAGGTCAGGTGGAACGTCGTCGCTGCCTGCCGCCTTTTGCGCCCGAAGATGTTCCACAGCTCGTCGCACTTCTTCTAACGCAATACTTCCGGCTTCCACTTGCAAGCAACCATTGTCGGCAACCATATCTGGTAAATTCAGCCCAACATCACACACGCGCCATTGTACTTGTTCGAGGTGCTCCGCCATCGTTTCCGGCCTCTGTTCAGCATCCACAACATTGCCACTCAAGCCGCGGAGTCGTCCAGTCGTCGCGGCTCGTCTTTTCCGGAGAGATCGCATTGCTCTCCACCCATCTTTGTCAATTGCCTCATCCAGCCACTGTCGTCTGTCGGCGCGAGCAGACACCTGGATCTTTTTGTTCAGTATTTTGACCTCGTTCATATTTGCTCCACTGTTCCAGGTAGTATTCCGCTGATCTATGAGGCGCAACGTTCTCGAGGAAATCCACGGCCGCCGCGGCGTAGCATCGCGCGGAGGGATTGCAGCAGCACCGGATTCAAGCATGTGCCACTGCCGACGCTTTCGCATCAAAATCTCTATGTTCAGGTTGTTGCCTCCATTTTTCCACGAAGTTCTGTGCGCACTCGCAAGCGGTGCTGACGTTGAGGAGTTCTGCCATGTTTAATCGAGGTGGGCGTTGGCGATGGACTGCTTTCGGCATGCTGATGTCCAAATCCACGATTGAGACGAAATGGTGGGGCTGCAATGCTCTTCAACGGTCGCCCCAAACATTCACAACAGAAGAAAACCAATTTTGTGCAACGATAACGTGGTCTAGCTGCTCAAAACGCCCCGGCTGGATGTCGCTGGCGGGGTGCACCCCGGGATCGTAATAGGTGACTTTGGCCCATGCCAGCGCAAAGTTCCAGCAATAACTCTCTATTAGATGTTGTCTTCCATTGCCCCTGTGGGTTCGCAAAGAAATACGGCCACAGAATTGCTTGCTCTCCTGGGCATCGCCGCAGCAGTCGGGCATTAAAGTCGCCGAGTAAAATGGTAGGCCCATGGGATTTGCACTTGGCTGTAAAGCGCAATAGGTCCGTGAAGAAGTCGCGCCGGATGTCGCAAGGGTGCTCGTTCGTCCACGCGCACGCCGTGACGATCGCGAGGATACCCCCGTTGCACCCTCAGGCGGAGGCTGGCCATTCGACTATCTTGGAGAAGTTAACCTTTGACCGCATGGCGCCCCCATGGCGCAACTATGAATCCGACTCCTGCGTATTCTCTGCCCTCGCCCTCCGACCCAGAGAATGATGAAATACCCTTCGAAAGTAAACACTTGCGAACCCGGGCAGCGTGTCTCTTGAAGACACAACACACTGATGTTCAAATTGCACATGTGCCGTGCTAACTCGTAAAGCTTACGCGGCTGCTCCTAGTTGATGCCTTCGACAGTCCAGGTAGCAATACGGCCGCACTCGACTGGTCAACATGGATATGTTTCCCATTTGCCCGTCGATGCTTCCTTAAAGGTGCCGATACGCCGTTGCGACCCCTATTCGGAACGCGAACCACCTTTCTTACCCTTCCCACCGCCCTTCACGGAGCGCTCCAAAGCAGAATTGGCACGCTCGGTCAGGGAGGCTACTTCCGCGCTGCCCGCGAGGCTTGCCCAGTGTGCCCAAGGGCCTTGCCATTCAATTTGAAGAGCGGGCCCAGAAACACGCACATTCACCACAGGCTCCTTAGCAACTCTGAGTTTCTGTTCCACCGTGTCCACACGTACTTCGCCTTTCGAATACCCCCACCCAGTGAGCACTTTCCAAATAAGAAGTTTTCGGGTACCCTCTTCTCCAAACGCTGATCGGCCCAAGTCCAGATCGCATTTTCCCCATGTTTGAGTTCCGCTCTCCCCAAGATGTTTACACATTTGTCCCGGGAAGTTGCTGTATCGAATTTGGCGAAAGCGATGTTCTGAAAGGAGCCGCCTTTGATGAACACGTCCACGGGATCCGGGGCACCAAGACGGAGAAGCTGCTGCTGAATCCACCCAGTTGCGTTTTGCAGCGTGTCGAAGTTGCCGAGGCCACCGATAACTGCGACACAATCGTGCTGCCTGCTGATGGTGAGCTCGGCCACTTGGCGTTCCAACTCCAAGAGTTCGTATTCCATCTGACTGGTATTGGTCACCCTGGAACGCGCTGGAGATGCCCCGGATGTCTGCTCCAAAGCATCGACGCGGGAAGCAAGGTCGCCAAGATATTTCTGAACAGGAAGAACTGCACGCTTCAAATCATATTGTGACACCCCGTGCTGTTTGATCGCTCTGATGTCGTCCTGGATGGGTCGGAGCTGCGCCCAGAGTACTACTTTAAAGTATCCCACCGCGAGCGCCTCCCCACCTCTACTTTCATCATCGGTAGCGGCTGCGGCCTCTAAGCTGTCCTGGAAGTGGCGCTGGCGTACGGTTGCAGACCCGCTGTCGGCCTCGTCGGAGAGGTCGTCCATCTCTGACTACCTACCAGACCACCCCAACCCAACCCGAAGACCCGAATTTGACCCGAATTTCGGGTTGGGGGGTACGGATACCATGTGTTTTTTCAACGTTCCCCGACCCCCCCCCACTGGAAATCGAGGATAAATTTGGGCCTTCGGGTTGGGTTGGGGTGGTTTGGTGGGTGGTGAATCTCGTGCAACGGGCTGTGGATCCGGTGTTGCTTCGCTCGCCCCGCTGGCTGAAAGACGTACTCGACCGGGGTGCCAGCCCTGCGGGTCTGCCTCGACGTAGCCGGGGACGCCGTACTCTGTTCCACTGTTTCGCTGTATATCGCGGACGCGGGGAGCTCTGAGGCCTGGCGGCCGCGGGGTGCGGGGGGAGAGGGAAGAGAGAGAGGGCAAGCTACGCGCGCTCGCGCCATATCTGACGTACTATCCCTCCCTCAAATCCCTTCCCACTGCGCGAATTGTCTCTCTATCCACGGACGCGTGTCATAGCCGACTTGGAGCGGAAGGAATGGGAGGAGCAGGAGGGCCAGGGGAAGGCGGAGGAGAGGAAATGCGGGGAAGCACAACGATGAGGAAGGACTCGGATCAAGAGGAGTGGCCCGGCACGCGCTGGGGGGGAGAGCGCCACTTTGGACGACGGGAGCACAGCGCACGCACACGCACGCACACACACACACACACACAGCCGCGCCTGAACGGCGCATCGGCAGGACAATTGGCTACGTGAAACACATGTGCGTTAGAACGGGGTTCGCGCAGACGCTCCCCTGCAGTGCCTCGGAAGCGTACGCTGGAACTCTCTGCCCCAGCGAAGCGCGAAGGTATGCTACAGTGCGCCGGAGGAGGAGGAGGAGGAGGAGGAGGAGGAGGAGGAGGAGGAGGAGCGGGAGCACCACTTAAAACACCGAAAACAATCGGATCATAACAACAGGAGGAGGAGGAGGAGGAGGAGGAGGAGCAATTGGGGAAAAACAAGTTGTCAACTCTTGTGTGCAAAAAACCTTACGCGGAGAGGGCAAAGCATCTCCCACACAAGAGTCAGGAGAGAGAGAGGTGAGTAGTATCCATATAGTGTGTAATCCTGGGGGGGAAGGAAGTAAGGGAGGGAAGATGGGTGAAACAGTGAGGGAAGAGCGAAGGAGGGAAGGGGCGAGGGGGAGAAGCAGGGGAGAAGGGAGGAAAGCAGAGGCAAAGAAGCGGGCCACAAGCAGACGGGACAGGCGACGCATTTTGCGGAAGACGCCTCGCCGGAGACGATGTCGAACTGCTGCGCACATGTCCGACACGGCCGATGCCTGCAACCTACCAGCCTCCAGCTACGCTGGACTGACCTGCCACTTCGGAAGCTCCAAACGTGGAAGGCGACAGGGAGGAGAAGTCGCCTAGGGCTCCCAACTTCGCGCTTCGCGCTCCGCGAAGCGCGAAGCGCGAATAACTTCGCGCTCTCGCGCCGCCCCCCCAGAGGGAGAAGAGGAGGACGAGGAGGAGGGGGAGAAGGAACGAGGACCGCGAAGCGCGAAGCGCGAATAACTTCGCGCCCTCGAGGGAGCCCTTGGGGAGGAGAAGTCGCGGGGGACCGTGGACTCGGGACATGGACGCGCCCCTGCTCCGCGAGCGTGCGTCTCTGCTTTCCGGCACAGCGGCCGCCACCGGGCCCACCCACCCGACCCCTCGACTGGTGCCGTCGCGCTCGGCGCCCGCAGGGTCTGGGCACAGCCGACCATGCCAAGGACCTGCGGGCAGGGCTGAACCTAAACGGTGTTCTTCGTTTTCGTTTTGTTTTCGTTGTCCCTGGCTTTTGTCTCGAATCCGCCTGTACCGCAAAACGAAGTCGAAACGAAAACGGCCCACGAAATCGCCAAAAACACCGTTTAGGTCCAGCCCTGATGCCAAGAACCCGCGGGCACAAGACGCTGCACTTGCCATCGCTCGGACGTCCACTCGCCGTGGCACTCTTCGGTTTCGTGCGCCCCTTCTCTTCGCGAGACGGTCCGAGATGTTCCTAGATTTTGGTCGGGGGTGTCCCCCACACAAGGGGGATGTTGGGCGGAAAATTAAGCATACTCAAAACAGACGCGCCAGATGCCAAAAAATACGCAAAAAAATCCCCAGCCTATTTTTTTACTACTTTTAAATATTCCCCCTGTAGAGGGACAGGCCCGACTTAATCCTAAATGTTCAAGGTGTCCTGGCGCTGGTCCCGCCGAGTAATATGTACACGTCCGAGCAGTGGCAAACACATCCACAGGTCCCTCCCCCCGAAGGCGACGCCCACCACACAGGAGCCAATAGGTGAGTTGATGCAGGGTAGACTGGACGGAGTGCAGAAGTCAAAGAACAGATTGAAGAGGGCTCGAGGGTCCTGACTGTGATGACGGATGTGCCGACGGCAACTTTCTGCGCCCGCACCCCACTACCATGTTTTCCACCCTTCCCATGACTGACGACACCACGCAGTAGTGATGTCTCGCTGGCCCAAAGAAGCGCACTATGCAGCCCCAGGCTGTTCGTGTTCCCCCCCTCCGTATTCATCCCCCTCCTCTCTCGAAATCATAGCCGGCGTGCACCACCACAAGAACAAATAGACGTCCGAGACCGAGAGAAAGCGTTTCACGGGCGCTTACTTCGGAACATTCGGCGGCGCGTTTCGAACAGGGGGGTGGCCCCCCACCCAAAACTCGGCGTCGGCGCCGTCGATCAAAACCAGGGGGACTCCCCTCCGCCCAAACCCCCCCGCCCTCCCGAACCCCCCCCCCCGAACCCCCCCCCTCTCCAAAGGGGGGGGGCGTTCAAAACACCCCCCCCCAGCGCCGGTGCTGGCGCTGGCGGCCGCCAGCGGCGCCGACGGCGGGGACGCAGCGACGATGACCAGATGCAGCCCAAGGGGGGGGGGCGCTCAAACCCCCCCCGCCCCCCCCCCACCGGGCGCCGGGGGGGGGGAGGTTCAACCCATTCCCTCCCACCGTGGCGCTGGCGGTGGCCAGCAGCGCCCGCGCTGGCGCCCGCGACGGCGATTACCCCCACGACCACCACCGCCACCACTACCACCACCACCACCACCACAATCTACCACACCATCACCACCACCGCCACAACCACCACCACTACTAGCAGCACAACCCACCGCCACCACCACAAACAACCACACCACCACCACCACCACCGCCACCACCACCACCACCAGCACCACCACCACAAACCACCACCACCACAACCATCACCACCACCACCACCACCACCACCACAAACAACCACCACCCACTGCCACCACCACCACCACCACCACCATCTACCACACCATCACCACCACCGCCACAACCACCACCACTACTAGCAGCACAACCCACCCACCACCACAAACAACCCACACCACCACCACCACCACCACCGCCACCACCACCACCACCAGCACCACCACCAGCACCACCTCCACAAACCACCGCCACCACCACAACCCACCACCACCACCACCACAACCCGCCACCACCACCACCAAAAACCACGACCACACCACCACCAAACCACCACCACCACCACCCCCACCACCACCAACAACAACAACAACAACAACAACAACAACAACAACAACAACAACAATTACTAGCACGTGGGGACACTCCGTTCTCACCAGTGCCAGGGTTTTCATACGACGCCCGCCAATACCCCCACTTTGTGGGGGGGCCGGTTCAAGCTCTACCAAATTTCCAAACGACTCTTCGCCACCACCCACACCCAGCTTCCCGCCCTATGACGTTCGGACACTTCACTTCGTGGCCTGCGGACGACCGTGGCTACTACACTGGCGCAGTGGCAGTGCCTTTTTGTGGTGGACACCTGTGGACTGGCTTTTTACAGTGACTTGTTGTGGTACATTTTCTGGACGCTAGCTTAGTATACGACTTTTCCCCCTGTTCCAACACTGGACACCTGTACTGGTTTTTGGTGGTAACGTGTTCCTGACGCTAGAATAGGAAACCACGGTAAACCAGTACGACGCCGGTACTGTCCCTGGTGCGCGGTGCGATTCGTATGATTTTATGTTGCGCGGTGCTAAAATTCCTAAGAAACCCAATGGTTTTTGAAGATTTCGGCGTGCGCGCGCGAAGAAAAAACGAATGTGTCCCGCATGGTATTATTTGACAGGGATGATGGCCCTGGCAGGTGCGCAACCGTTGTTGGAGAAGTTCGAAGCACGTGAAAAAGTTGCTCGCAAAAGCCCGTTTGACAGAAATGTTTAAAAAGTGTTGGGTTTCCTACAAATCCGCAAGAGCGCGCGGGATGAAATTTTGACACTTTTTTTTGAAAAACCATTGGTTGTTTGATGTTTTTATGTTAAAATCGCTACGAACACTAAGGTTTTGGAAGGATTTCGTCTTGCGCGCGCGAATGTCCACTTTACCTTATTTTTTGCAAGGGATTCTTGAAGTTTGGTTATGTTAGAACAAGAAATGTCCACTTTGCCTTATTTTTTGCAAGGGAAAACCGCCCGTAACAAAACAACCGGATCCGGACCAACCCGTTTTGCCAGAGACTTCCTCACGAAAATGATGAAAACATGGCTGCGGCCTAGGCGCGGCGAGGGGGCCATGCACCAGGGGTCCCAACAATAATTTTTCTTTAAAAGTAATAATGCTCAACAACAACAACAACAACAACAACAACAGCAGCAGCAGCAGCAGCAACAACAGCAACAACAACAACAACAGCAGCAGCAGCAGCAGCAACAGCAACAACAAAAACAACAACAACAACAACAACAACAACAACAACAACAATTACTAGCACGTGGGGACACTCCGTTCTCACCAGTGCCAGGGTTTTCATAGGAGGCGGGCAATACCCCCACTTTGTGGGGGGGCCGGTTCAAGCTCTACCAAATTTCCAAACGACTCTTCGCCACCACCCACACCCAGCTTCCCGCCCTATGACGTTCGGACACTTCACTTCGTGGCATGCGGACGACCGTGGCTACTATTCAGGGCCCCGCGGCCGACGACGACGGCGTGCGCGCGCGAAGAAAAAACGAATGTGTCCCGCATGGTATTATTTGACAGGGATGATGGCCCTGGCAGGTGCGCAACCGTTGTTGCAGAAGTTCGAAAAAGTTGCTCGCAAAAGCCCGTTTGACAGAAATGTTTAAAAAGTGTTGGGTTTCCTACGAATCCGCAAGAGCGCGCGGGATGAAATTTTGACAATTTTTTTTTGAAAAACCATTGGTTTTTTGATGTTTTTATGTTAAAATCGCTACGAAAACTAAGGTTTTGGAAGGATTTCGTCTTGCGCGCGCGAATGTCCACTTTACCTTATTTTTTGCAAGGGATTCTTGAAGTTTGGTTATGTTAGAACAAGAAATGTCCACTTTGCCTTATTTTCTGCAAGGGAAAACCGCCCGTAACAAAACAACCGGATCTGGATCACATCGTTTTGTCAAGAGCTTTCGCTCGAAAATGATGAAAATGTGGCTGCGGCCTAGGCGCGGCGGGGGGGCCGTGCACCAGGGGTCCCAACAATAATTATTCTTTAGAAGAAATAATGTTCAACAACAACAACAACAACAACAACAACAACAACAACAATCATTTTACCCGAACGCTCAGTGTTCTCCCCAGTGCCAGGGTTTTCATGCGACGCCAGCCAATACCCCCACTTCGTGGGGGGGCAATGCAAGCTCTACCAAACATCCACACGACTCTCGGGAACCACCCACACCCAGCTTCCCGCCCTATGACGTCAGGACACTTCACTTCGTGGCGCGCGGACGATCGTGGATACTACACTGGCGTGGAGTACACACCCGCAGAGGTTGATCACTTGTCATTTTTTGCAAGGGATGGTGGCCCTCGTAGGCTCGCAACCGTTGTTGCAGAAGGTCGAAGCACCTGAAAAGGTTCCTCGCAAAGGCCCTTTTAACAGAAATGTTAAAAATCTGGTGGGTTTCCTAGGAATCCGCAAGAGCGCGCGGAAGGACATTTTGACAATTTTTTCTGAGAAAACCATTGGGTTTGTGATGTTTTTATGTTAAAATCGCTACGAAACCTAAGGTTTTGGAAGGATTTCGTCTTGCGCGCACGAATGTCCACTTTACCTTATTTTTTGCAAGGGATTCTTGCAATTTGATCAAGTAAAAACAAGAATTTTCATTTTCTATTGTTTTTTGCAAGGGAAAACGAGCGTCAACAAAAAACCGGATCCGGAGCTCATCCACTTTTCTGAAGCTTTCGCGAAAAAATGATGAAAATGTAGCTGCGGCCTAGGCGCGGCGCAGAGGTCGCGCACCAGGGGTCCCAACAATAATAATTCTTTAGAAGGAATAATGTTCAACAACAATTACTAGCACGTGGGGACACTCCGTTCTCACCAGTGCCAGGGTTTTCATAGGAGGCGGGCAATACCCCCACTTTGTGGGGGGGCCGGTTCAAGCTCTACCAAATTTCCAAACGACTCTTCGCCACCACCCACACCCAGCTTCCCGCCCTATGACGTTCGGACACTTCACTTCGTGGCATGCGGACGACCGTGGCTACTATTCAGGGCCCCGCGGCCGACGACGACGGCGTGCGCGCGCGAAGAAAAAACGAATGTGTCCCGCATGGTATTATTTGACAGGGATGATGGCCCTGGCAGGTGCGCAACCGTTGTTGCAGAAGTTCGAAAAAGTTGCTCGCAAAAGCCCGTTTGACAGAAATGTTTAAAAAGTGTTGGGTTTCCTACGAATCCGCAAGAGCGCGCGGGATGAAATTTTGACAATTTGTTTTTGAAAAACCATTGGTTTTTTGATGTTTTTATGTTAAAATCGCTACGAAAACTAAGGTTTTGGAAGGATTTCGTCTTGCGCGCGCGAATGTCCACTTTACCTTATTTTTTGCAAGGGATTCTTGAAGTTTGGTTATGTTAGAACAAGAAATGTCCACTTTAGCTTAAAAAACCGCCCGTAACAAAACAACCGGATCCGGACCAACCCGTTTTGCCAGAGACTTCCTCGCGAAAATGATGAAAATGAGGCTGCGGCCTAGGCGCGGCGGGGGGGTCGTGCACCAGGGGTCCCAACAATAATTATTCTTTAGAAGTAATAATGTTCAACACCCACCACCACAACCACCACCACCACAACAGACCACCACACCACCACCACCACAACCACCACCACCGCCACCACCACCATAACCCACCACCACCACCACCACCGTCGTCCTCGTCGACGCTCACCGCCGCCGCCGCCCGCCGCCGCAGACGCCAACGCCGGCCCAGAAAAGGAAATCGTCGTCCCCGACGCCGCCGCCGCCAGCCGCCGCCGCCGCCAGCCGCCGCCGACGCAAGCACCGGCCCGAGGAGAGGAGGGGAAGCAGGGGAGAGGAAGGGGAGGAGGGGTTCAACCCCCCCCCCCCTCCGTCAAGAGGGGGGGTCGAAACCCACCTCCCCTCCATCCAGGGGGGGGGCTCCGGTTTCGACCCCCCCCCCCTCCAAGCGACCACAGAACGCGCTCTTTCAGACGTCCAAGCGTTGACCGAAGACGCCTGACCAACCCAACCAACCACAAGGCTCTGGAGCCCATCGTGCACTGGGCGATCAACGAGGATGAGGATACCAGGCTAGAACCTCACACCTGCTGACGCGTCTACCTGCCAATATTGGGGAGTAAGACTCGGGTACAGGGCACTCGGGTTGGCCTGACGGAGCCATCATGAAAATGACGAGACCCAATCTGAAATTTGACGCGAACTCCCGCTGCAAACATCCCACAAGAACTGGACCGTCAAAATCCAGGGCGGGCTCGTCAAAACGCGAAGGCGCATCCTAGTTCCAGCGCCCTCGAGTCTTACGCTTCCTCGACAGTAGCCAATAGCCAATAGCCACAGACCGACAGCCACTCCTGGGGCCCAGCCGCCCAAGATGGCCCAAGACGGCCCCTTGAGGGCTCCCAGGCGGCAGCGAGGACTTCCCAAGGCCGGCCAAAGCCGCCTCAGGACGACCCCAGGACGCCCCAAGAGCGCGTTTCTTTGTGTTCGGCAATGACGGGCATCATGGGGTGGGGGGTGGGGCGAGGGAGGGGTATGACGTAACGCCCCCCCCCCCCGTGTGGCTCCGGGGCATCACAGCCGCGCCCGCGCGCACGACGCGACGAGCGACGAGCGACGAGCGACGAGCGACGACGACGACGACGACGACGACGACGACGACGACGACGAAGGCGACGACGACGACGACGACGACGACGACGACGACGACGACGACGAGCCTCTTCGGGAAAAAGCCCAGGACGGTGCGAGGCCGTCCGGAGGAGGAGGAGGAGGAGGAGGAGGAGGAGGAGGAGGAGGAGGAGGAGGAGGAGGAGGAGGAGGAGGAGGAGGAGGAGGAGGGGGGGGGGCCGCCGAGGCCTCCTGGAACCGTAGGCCCGGGGGCAGCCTGGGGCCCGCAGAGGTGTGGGCTCAGAGCGAGCCCACTCGGGAGAGCTCGGCAGAGCCGCTCCCGGCGGCGAGCCTTCACGGAAGCGAAGAGAATGGGCTCCGCTCGAAGCGTTCTCTCGATCAGTACAGTCAAAACGTTTCTTCAGGACGGGTGGCAAGAACGCAAGACCCTTGGAGGCCGAAGTTGGATTTTGGGGGCGGGGGGCGGCCAGTGAAAACGGCGAAGGACGGGCCGCAGAGGCAAGGACTCAAGGGCACCCTAGAGGAAGGCACGCATCCTTGCGAGGCGCGTTGACTGCAGTCTGGGCCCGCCTGGCCCACATATATGAACGCCTCACGAGGGAGCCAAGTCCGAAGCCTGAACGCTCCTCGACGAAACCTGGAGTCCCTCAAAGTTGACGCGCCCGGGGTGGGGGGAAGTGAGAGGGGGCAGGCCTTCTCAGAGGGCGGCGGGGAAGCCACGGGTGGCCTCTCTCTCACACGTCGCGGGGGGCTCCCGAGAAGGCCCGCCGTGTTCCGAGAGGGCCTGCCCGGGAGAACCTGAGAGTGCCGATGCCGCTGCTCCCCAGAGCTCTCCTGCGATGCGTTCTGACCAGACTGTCGAGGCGAGTCCAGCGGTGGCGACGAGGGCCTCCCAGAAGGCTCCCAAAAGGAAAGAAACCAGAAAAGCAACAACAAAAACCAAAACAACAAAACAAGATAAAACAAAAACAATAAAACGACGGAAGCGTTGCGGTATGGCTACCTTTTCCTCCCCTGACTGTCTCATCTCGATGGCCCCCCCTGTGATGGGCCGATGTTCCACCACAATTACCGTAGGTAGGAGAGGGAGGAGGAGAGTAAGGAGGAGAAGGAGGAGGAGGAGAAGGAGGAGGAGAAGCACAAGGAGGAGAAGGAGGAGGAGGAAGAAGAGGAAGACGTCCCCATCCTCCCTTCTCACCCGTCCTACCTATGTGGCGAACGAACCACACACACACACTCATACCCATAGGGGGATCGGAGGGGGCTATGAGTGCGTGTGGTCGGATAGGGGTCCCCGCTCGAACGGGAGCGTCCCCTAGGGTACGACAACCCGCACCCTACCCATAGCCAGTCCTCCTCCCAACGACCCCCCCATGGGTGTGGACGTGCGTTGGTGGAGAATTTGCCCATCGCCCTGGGCTCGCCGCTGAGATTGTCTCAGTCGCAGCGCTGGCGGTCGCACAGCGCGGCCAGAGCGTACCCGGGGGCGCCGCAGGGCGAAGGTGCTCCGGGAGAGGGCATTTTGTTCACTGTATGCTGCTACAGACAGCTGCAGGATCACCAGGAGAGGGCAGGAGGAGGAGGAGGAGGAGGATGAGGAGGAGGAGGAGGAGGAGGAGGAGAGAGGAGAAGGAGGAGGAGGAGGAGGAGACAGGAGAGGGCGGCCACGGAGAGGGCGGCGAACCCAAGCCCCGTCGGCCAAACATACTGGCGCGCAGAGGGGGGGGCATGGGAAGGGGGAAAGGCTGCTTAGAGGGAGGCTGGTTCTAAGAAGGCGCCTGCCTTACATCTACAGGTAAGGCCCGCGCCTGCCAAGAAGCAGGGGTGCTTCTGAGAAGCCTTCCCCCTCTCTTTCCCCCCTCTGCGCGTGGCCGACTTCTGTAGATAGGCCTCGACTCGCCTGTGCAGTCAGCAATGGGGACGGACGACGACGACAGGGGGAGGAGCGGCGGACAGTGGCCTGTGGGCTAAACAACCCGCGCATGTAGATACAGTCGGGGTACGACCAGAAGGAGCACTAAACAAGGAACGAAGGTACCTTCTTGGCGCCAACGGCTCCTGGGTGCAGGAGGAAGGTTGGAGGAACGAGCACGGAGCGACCTTCAAAACACATCGAGCCCCCTCCGAACCCAAAACAGTCCTGCGATTTCATCGTCTTGACCGTAGGCCTCGGCTCACCTGAAGCTGGCCTAAGCCCTCTTGGTTGCACAGGGGTAGCCACTCCACAAGAAGCCTTCCACAAGAAACCCAACCCTGAGACGCCAGGACTAGGACGAGAATAATCTATTGACACAGTGTGCTATTGATACGTTCCGGAGACTCTGGAATTTCTAACAGCCTTCGCGCGGGGTACACTTTGCGTCGAGTGTTGTCTACTCTGGCTGGCGTCGCTGGTCGGTCACCCATTCGCAATCGAACGGTCGCCCGTAAGAGGCTACTTGGTTGGCAGTTGCTGACCCCCCTTTTCGTTGCCGAGCGCGGGGGGGACGGCGGCGCACCGTCCCATCGCCCGCCGCCGCGCACCGCGCGCCTCGGCAGATTCCCAAAGACCTGGCAAGGCAAATCATGCGCGACTCTAGAAAATTCTCCGGGGGTAAGCTTGAACAAATCCGGGAACATTTTTGAACATGTGTGGCCTACTTTTCGAAAAATGTCAGAACCGTTTTTGGAAATTTCCGGGATCGATTTTGAAAAAATCCGGAATCCATTTTGAAAAATTCCGGATTTCAGAATTCTTCAAATGTCCTGCGCGGCGGGCGCATTCCACCCCTCAAAACTGTTTTTTGAAAATTTCCGGGCTCCTTTTTGAAAAATTCCGGAAACGCTTGCGCGAAAAAAAGGCGGAAACATTTGCTGACACATTCTAGAATCAGGAACTAATGTCCGGGCGGTCCGACGGGCGCGGCCGGCTGATGCACGCGCCGCGCCGCGCGCGATTGGGCACAGCGCGCGCCGCGCGTTGCGCCCGCGAACAGCACTCGAAGGGGCTACCTCGAAAACAGCGCCACGGCAGCTGCGACTCGCGGACCCCCCAAGAGCAACACAGCATGCAGTTTGGAATCTTCGAGGGCGCTCCGATGCGCGAAAAATGCACCGCGAACATCACGCGAAGAACCTGCGCGACGGAACGCGCTCGACCATTCGTCCCTGAAGCCCACGCGGAAGAACAGGAAAACCTGGAAATGTGGAAAACTACCAATATCAATACTCCACACTCCTCTGAAGGACGTTCATTGATTTTTGGTGTGGGATCGTCACGCTTTCCACTGAAAACCCTTCCGAACCCAGGAAACCAAGGGCACCCTGGAGGCAAGCAGGGTGGTTCTTGCCATGGGCCTCCACTGTACGGAACAGTCGTCATAACCGTGAGCACGGCGGACGTCGACAGCGGGAGGAACCCAGCAGCACCCGCGCGCGCGCACGCACGGTGACCGAGGCACGCCGCAGGCAGCGGACTTTATGATACGGGGAGAAAAAAGACAAACCAATAAACAAAAAAAAAAACAAAAAAAAAAAAAAAAAAAAACATAAACAAAAAAAACAAAAAAAAAAACAAAAAAAAAAAAAAAAAAAAACATCAGAGCCCGGCCGTGGCCGTGGCCCCAGGGTCCTGGGAGGGCTCGGGGTCGGCGGCACCGGCCGCAAGGTCTTCGCAGTCAGAAACAAAAGCCTTCGGAGGTCCGCGCGGAGCCCTCGGATCGGCACTGGAGCCTCCCTTGTGCGGCGCCTCTGGCGCCAGCCCCAGCGCGCTCCGCGCTCCAGGGAGGGGGGTCCAGCGCCGATCCCAGATGCCAATCTGGACCTCCGAAAGCTCACTCCCCCGATTAGGCCTGCCCAAGGGATTCATATTTTGCCCGTTGCTCGGAGATTCCCTGGGTTCCCAGGGTTCCTCGGGTTCCCCGGGTTCCCCAGGTTCCCTGCAGGATCCTCCGGTTCCTCGGGTTCCCCTGGTTCCTCGGGTTCTCCAGGATCCCTGGATTCCCCGCCCCCGATGCCTCGCATTCTCACTGTGCCCGTTCCAAGCAACGCCAAGCAATGCCAAGCCATGCGAAGCGATACCAAGCAATTCCAAGCAATGCCAAGCAATGCCAAGCAAGGCAGTGCCAAGCAATGCCAAGCAATGCCAAGCAGTGCGCCCATGCTACAGAAAGTTTTCCCCTAATTCGGGTCGCGCCAGGTTCATGTTTACATCATGATTTGCTCCTCGAATCATGTCTTCCACCCTGCGAAAAAAAAACAACGAGCATACCGAATTGCCCAAGGTCTCGCAATGGGCGAGCCTGAGCAACGCTGGCAATCGTCAAGCTAACCAGCACTCCACTGGCGGCAGGGACTCGAAGCATGTCTTCGCGTTCGGCCTCGAGTCTGGAGACAAGGACAGCATTGAATGGAGATGCGCCTTCCCCGCGGAGCTGAGCGCGATGGCGCCGTCCAGAGTTGACAGCTCCGGCGTGCTCATGCCGACCACCTCTTTGGGAACATGCCAGCATCCGCCCCCGCCCGTCGTCAGGCCCCTCCTCTGCCCGGGAGGCGGAGAGGATGAGAGCGGAGCATAAGAGTAAGAAGAAGAAGAGGAGCGAGAAGGGGACGCGGGAGCAGGGAGGAGCAGGGGGCCCTCCCATCCCGTCCATTCCTATCTCTCTCCTCTCTCCCCTCGCTCGAAGGCCTCGAACCTCCCCATTGGCGGCCTCGGTGGTCAGCAGCGGGTCAAAAAAACTTCAGACACCTCGATCCTCAAACCTCGAAAGCCTTGACCCTCGACCGTCACGCGCGCCCCGCCCCCTCCCGCCCACCCACCCCTCGCCCCACCTGACCTTCCGCCAGTCTCTCCAGTCTGTCCCTCCACTTCTCCCCTCACCACTCCTCTCGTCCCTTCTGGAGGGGCCCTGGGACACACACATCAATAGCCACAAATCCAAGGATTCACCCTATTTCCCCATATGTTCTGGGTTTTCGCCTTCCCCCCCGCTTCCCATATTTTCCTACATTTTCCTGGGAGTCGACGATTAGTTGTGCCTGTGTGCTTTCTCCGATCCACCCCCCTCACCGCCGCCCCTCTCCTCCCCCCTCGACGCCCCTCCACGCCAGGCCTCCGTCCAGAGGACGAAGGCTGGGCCGACGGAGGCTGGGTCGCAGCGCTCGGGGGGGGGCGCGCGCAATGGCTCCGCCGCCGGCTGTAGAATCAGAAGGTCGAGGCTCCGACCAGGGAGGTCACTGACGGCGTCGCTGTCTGTCGGGTCGTGGACGGCCCCGCCGAGGCGCACTTGCAGCAGTCCCCCCCCCTACCCCTCGCTCCTCTCCCTCTCCGCCCCTCCACCCCGCCTCGACCTTTCCCCTCACCCAAGCTCGACCCTTCCCACCCACCCCATGCGAGTGTCAGAAGCACGGGTGCTGTGTGAGAACGTGAGAATGTGGGCGCAGCGGCCGGGCGCGAGCCAAAGACGCGCTGCGGCGCGATCTCCCCTCTCTTGGGAACGTCCGCGCAAGGGGAGCAGCAGCAGTAGTAGCAGCCCGATCCTTCTTCGCCACAGCGTCGTGATGGCTGGGGAAGGTATCGGCCGGGAGAGAGAGCCCAGAATCGCATCGATAAGTTGGATCGGCGATCGAAATGAATCGCATCGGCGGAACTCGGCAGCCGAGTCGGGAAAAGTCGATTCGGCGGGGATCGCCAACAAGAAATCGGAACCCAGGTCGGAATCTCCAGGCGCATCGGATCGAAATCGGAAGCCACCGAAATCGAATCGAATCGAGGATTGGAGGAGTCGGATTGAGCCCTGGCATCGACCCGGCGGGCGGTGGGAACAGGGCCGACGCGCCCTCTCCGCCCCCCGCTCCTCGGCTTAAGTCGGGCCTGTCCCCCTACGGGGGGATTTTCGACGGAACATAAAAAATACACCAAAAATAATCAAAAAAGTAGTCGAAAAAAAGCCTGGGGACGATGTTTTGAGCATTTTTGTTGCCACGTTGGGGCCTTTTGGGGGTATTTCTTATTTTTCGTCGAAAATCCCCCTGTAAGGGGACAGGCCCGACGTCTTCCTCGGCGGACCTCGACCTGTGGCGCGCCGCGGCGGCCTGTGCCGGCGGCCGGGGCGTCGGAACTGGCTGGGACGCTCCCCGACCTGGGGGAGGAGGAGGAGGAGGAGGAGGAGGAGGAGGAGGAGGAGGAGGAGGAGGAGGAGGAGGAGGAGGAGGGAGGCGGAGGAGGAGGAGGAGGAGGACTTCGGCAGCCCCTCGGCGGCCCTCGGCGGCCCCTGTCTGAACTGACTGGCTGTCCCGAACTGGCTGGGCAGGAGGAGGGGGGGGGGTGAGGCAAAACCCCCTCAAAAAAATCGAGGGACGCACAGGGACATACTAACACTACATGTCCTCCATGGAGGCGCGCGTCCGAACCGAACACATCGTATACCCATCTTGTAGTGCATCGTCTCCCCAGCGGTGTGGCCAGAGAGCGCCCGTCACGACGCATATACTATAAGACTCCTCGCTGCGCGCGTCGCCCCTGGAGGGGGGGCGACGCACATACAGTATGAGTACGTGGGGGTGACTGACTACCTACCAGACCACCCCAACCCAACCCGAAGGCCCGAACTTCGGGTTGGGGGGGGTAAGGGTTCCATACGTGTTTTTGTCGACGTTCCCCGACCCCCCCCCACTGGAAATGGAGGTCAAATTTGGGCCTTCGGGTTGGGTTGGGGTGGTTTGGTGGGTGGTGACCTCCTGGGTTCCACGCCTGGTGCAGTTTTCCGCCTGGACCCGTTCTTCACGGGGGGCCTCCCGGCCCGACCGCGGCCCCGGGGTGGCCGAGAGGAGGCAGAAAATGGGAGGCTTGGAAACTGACACCAACACCAACCCAGGGGGGTTGCCTCCACCAGGGGAAGATTGATGGGCAAATCCCACCAGCCCTCTGGGCGTAGGTGGTCTAGAACAGATCCTCTTCCACCCCTCCCTCTTCCCCCTTGGGGAGGGGTTTACCCCTCCCCCTACCCCCTCCCCTGGACCTGGACGGGGGGGGCCGCGGGTAGTTAGAGCGTCCAAGATGGCCCAAGACGGCTCCAAGAGCGCCTCAGAGAACCCAAGATGAGCTCCAAGATGGCTCAAGATAGCGCAAGATCGCTCAC